TATCTTCCGTTGCTTGAACCTCTTTGATATCGTCTGATGTACAGCGTCAGCCGACATGGACGTGTGTCCTGTTTCCAAAAACTTCACTGTGATCGTGCTCGTTCTCGTCTTCGTAGAGTTGACCGTCTTCAGAAGAGCGCTGCACAAGGCCCAACTCTTATTCTGCGCACCACAATTATCCGCCCAGATGGTAACATGAGCGACGTCCCGACAGGCGGACTCGAGGTACAGCACATATGCTGCGGCGACCTCTTCTGCGCTCCGTCCAGCGTGTCCTTCGTGCCAGACTACGCACATACTGTTCTCCTTCTGGAGAGCCCTTCTGCTTGATTTATCTCCTTTGTCTGTCGGCATGAGGATGCTGAAAGTTTCATTGTAGCAAATTAGTCTCTGTGTGAAGATGGCTTCTTTCAAGGGAAGAATCGGAATTACCATGACTTTCATCATATCGGCTGACAGCACGATCTCATCATCACTCCATGTTCTATCTGCGTCGGCACGATACTCGTTTCTAGCTATCTTGGCTAGATACATGTGTTCAGCGTGAGCGCAGCACTCACTACATCCTTCGATGTGCTCGGAGGGTTCCTTCGCCTGCCTTCCATGGCAGTCCTTCAAATGCTGGAGATGAACGGAGCATTTCGCACACTCTTCTCCCGCGAGTTGTGCGAACGAGATGTTCATCTCGCGCACGACCTTCCTGTATGTCTCGTAAGAGCACTGCCCACCACGGCGGGTGTAGTCTGTGTACATGTCACGCACAGTTACATCTGAGGGTAAGTACATCCTCTGAGGCGCATGCATATAGCGATAGTGGTGCTTGATTGGGTGGTATAAGTTGACGTGATCCTTGATCATATAGCGGTCAGTCTTGTTCGAAGGGCAGTGACACCCCCGCTCGTCTCCTGCCGGCCGGATCGAACCATCTTTGACGGCTGATAGGACAGCTTCAGCGTTATCAGCCGCGAACCCGAGTGTTGTCAGATAGAACGATCTGCACACAGTGACCGATTTGTCTCCAGATGGCAACGACCAGGAGAACGCCCTGGTACGCCTGGGATCAGATTCCCTCCGGTGTTCGGGACGACGAACATGCACGTCTGTTGACTTGACGTAAGTTCGATACCACTGTTGGCGTGCCTCACGGCTGAGCTGGTTGACCTCAGTGTTAATCTCGATCCGAGTGGATTCCAAAACCTTCTTGAAACACTCATTGCGGCATCCATCCTTGCACTGTTTTGGAACATTTAGTACCGGATGCTTCTGCGCGAAGTTGGCGACTTTCTGTGCGGAGGTTCTCGCTCTCTTCTTGACTGCCGTTTTTCTTCGCTTAGGTGGGGGTGAGCTGGTCGCTGGCGAGTCTACTTCTCCTTCTGCTTCCGGAAGATCATCTGGGTCAACAGTTTCCTCGGTCGTACCTTGCATGTCGCCGTGTGTGTTAGTGGCGGCTCTTGGCGTGAATATGCCTACTAACGGGGACACTTCAAGCAACAGCTCGTCTTCGCTCAGAAACAGATGTTCTACCGACTCCATGTTCGCGTCATTCATGGAAGTCAGTGGGTTCAAATATCTTTGCATTTCCGATGTCTCGGGCATTGCTTCCCTCTCTGGCTCCAGATATGCAAAGGCTTCGTCACAAAACAGCTCGTCACCAGGTCCGCCCGGTGCTCCGTCTCCGCCTGGTCCACTCGGTGTCATGCCTCCGTCCATTCCACTCGGTGTGCTGTCTCCGCCTGGTTCACTCGGTGTCCTGTCTCCGTCCGTTCCAGTCGGTGTTCCGTCTCCGCCTGGTCCGCTCGATGTGCTGCCTCCGTCCATTCCACTCGGTGTGCTGTCTCCGCCTGGTTCGCTCGGTGTGCTGTCTCCGTCCGGTCCAGTCGGCGCTCCGTCTCCGTCCGGTACGCTGGGTGCTCCGTCTCCGCCTGGTCCGCTCGATGTGCTGCCTCCGTCCGGTCCAGTCAGTGTGCTGTCTCCGTCCGGTCCAGTCGGTGCTCCGTCTCCATCCGGTACGCTCGGTGCTCCGTCTCCGCCTGGTCCGCTCGATGTGCTGCCTCCGTCCATTCCACTCGGTGTGCTGTCTCCGCCTGGTTCGCTCGGTGTGCTCTCTCCGTCCGGTCCAGTCGGTGCTCCGTCTCCATCCGGTACGCTCGGTGCTCCGTCTCCGCCTGGTCCGCTCGATGTGCTGCCTCCGTCCGGTCCAGTCAGTGTGCTGTCTCCGTCCGGTCCAGTCGGTGCTCCGTCTCCATCCGGTACGCTCGGTGCTCCGTCTCCGCCTGGTCCGCTCGATGTGCTGCCTCCGTCCATTCCACTCGGTGTGCTGTCTCCGCCTGGTTCGCTCGGTGTGCTCTCTCCGTCCGGTCCAGTCGGTGCTCCGTCTCCATCCGGTACGCTCGGTGCTCCGTCTCCGCCTGGTCCGCTCGATGTGCTGCCTCCGTCCATTCCACTCGGTGTGCTGTCTCCGCCTGGTTCGCTCGGTGTGCTCTCTCCGTCCGGTCCAGTCGGTGCTCCGTCTCCATCCGGTACGCTCGTTGTGCTGTCTCTGTCCGGTCCAGTCAGTGTGCTGTCTCCGTCCGGTCCAGTCGGTGCTCCGTCTCCATCCAGTACGCTCGGTGCTCCGTCTCCGCCTGGTCCGCTCGATGTGCTGCCTCCGTCCGGTCCAGTCAGTGTGCTGTCTCCGTCCGGTCCAGTCGGTGCTCCGTCTCCATCCAGTACGCTCGGTGCTCCGTCTCCGCCTGGTCCACTCGGTGTCGGTGTCACCGCCTCATCTTCGACCTCTGTGAAAAGCGGGTTGATGGGATTCCTGAGTCTGTAATTACTATTTTCAGGGCCGCTGAATGAACTGAATGTACTCAATGTATGAATGTACTCAACAGACATGTTCGTGGATCCTAGAAATGGATCTGGAGATCTGATCCCATGGATCTGGATCCGATATCATATGGGATCATAGATCCGAGTCTCCATTTTGTCGAGAGATCCACTCGGATCATGGATCCGGCATTCGGTTTTGTCGAGAGATCCACTTGGATCATAGATCCCAAGCTCCCCAACCTGCTATCATCCAAGAACAAGATAGCAGGTTCAAGACCGTGATTCAGTGCAATATGTGACTAATGATGCCCAAGTTCAAGCTTAAATTGGTTAATTAACCGTTATTAACAGTTATAAGTGTCAAAAACTGTTTTTGTCGAGAGATCCACTCGGATCATGGATCCAACCTTTGGTTTTGTCGAGAGATCCACTGGGATCATAGATCCGACCTTCGCTTTCGTCCAGAGATCCATTGGGATCATGGATCCATGATTCCATTTTGTCACGGGATCCACCGAGATCATAGATCCACAGTTGGGATCCAAGAACATGTCTGGTACTCAATGAACTGAATGAATTCAATGTAAACAATTGATCCTAAAAGAAACGCTGATTGTTGTCTTTTTAATGTTTTCAAATACAGTCAAACATGGTTCATGTAATACGTATGTACTTGCACATTTAAAAGTATTTACCTTGCACAAGGCCGAAGCTTTTCGGTGGCTTGAAAACTATGACTCCGGTCCACAGTTTCTTCCCATGAAGCATCGTGACCGCTGAACCGCCACAATGTGAACCTCTAAGAGACGAGAGAGGCACGTAGTGCGATTGGCCCTTGCTGACGTCTTCCCACTGAACAAGAACATGAGGTCTTCCGGCCACTTTCCTGTTATATGCATAGGGCACGCCCCCTTTGCGAGGCTTCATGGCGATAGGTTACCTAAATACACATAAGTGACAATGATTATCGATTAATGTTTTAAATTCGTGAGGAAATCACGGTGAGAAAATTGAATCACAGTAACTATTCGACCGGTCGCGTCGGCAGGAATCAAAGCCTAAATCAACGCCAAGATCAAATAAACCGCCCGTTTGAGGCGGTAAAACTCGAATAAAACTCACCTGCGTTGTGAAATAGTGTACCTCCAAATGGAAGATACCGATTCCACATGGGCAAATTCTCCTATGTTATTCTGAAAAATGGGTTTGTATACAAAGGAGATTAAACAAAGGAGATTTCGCCATTTATCAGAACATCAGTGGTTTTGCCTTTGCTTTTCGGTTGCATTCCCAGAACATAGGAATTCCAAAAAAACTTAAGTCAAAATAATTCTTAAAATATACATTTTATTAATGGTCTGACAGCACCAAAATACGCGACATGGGAACACGAATCGAATGATATAAAAAACGCCAAATCGGCCAAAAATGAACATAGGAGGTTTTGCCTTTGCACGGCAGTGTACCATTTGGACAATAGTCGATACTGATAGCGATGCGCCGGAAGCCTGAATTGTGGCAACAGTCGGGTTGTCTATGGCTGGTTCAGTTGCTGTCTTGCAGGCGTTTAGTATGTATGTCGGTGGTGACCGGATGTGTATTGTTTAGAAAACAAATAAATGATGGGAGTCATGTTGACATGTCCGTCGTTTGTGCATAGTAGGCATGGTACCGTATCACATGAAGAGTGGGTCACGTCTCGGAAACCCTGCGAGATTTGGAAATAATGCGCCTCAGTGAACCTTAGGTTTGGCAAAATTAACTGATTCCGTGTAGCGTAAACTGGTGTTCAGGGGTAATTTCAGTCAGCGCTGCAGTGAACCCCTGTTCCCCAATCCCCGTCGTCTTCGCAGTCTGTCTCCCAAGGCCGTATATCTGTCTCCCACATCCAAGGTCAAATTGGAGTGTCCACTCAGTCGAAACCGCCTCTGGGAATGGCTACGGTATAATGTTCCTCTACTTTAATTCGGTGAAAAAAGAGGTTAATGTATCACTATTTACCGATCCAGAAGGACTAATCTGGTCAGAAATCAGAACATTTCAGTAGAATCGTTAGCGAGCGAGAGTTTGCAATCCGCACCTTTGACCTTCGCAGGTTTCCCTTTGCTAGAGGATTTGGAAGCTATCAAGGTGATATATGGAAGCATTCATGTGCGTACAAAAAAGACGCAGATATGAGTCAGTTTGTGCTCGGACTGCTTCCGTGTCGGATTGCAGCTGTTGTTAGTGGTTGAATTTTGCATTTTCTTGTTTTGATTTGAAGCTTTGGGGTATCAACTGGCTCAAAGGTCAAGAAACAATTAACTGAAGCAGTTGCAGTTCGATGATGTCAAGGAACTGGCAGCGAAAGGCGATTTGAACTAACAAACGAAGAGCAGAGACTGAGACAGGCTCAAGAAACGACTCCAACTTGTTGCACAATTTTCATTGCACGGCGAAGAAGTGTCGAAATTTCGCTTCTAACTTTTCGAAGCATTTAGTTACAAACTATTTAACCTCACTGAAGGAGTGGAAGCATGAAGCTTTACAGCGTATCTGTGTTGTATAAAAACCCTCATGTCGCTCAGACCCTGAAGGCAGCTCAGGATTTGCAAAGTTTTGGCTTCTTTCAGAGAGGTAGTGTCCAAGAGTTCATGACATTTACAAGCAAGATTCTTGTAGAACGATCACAGCAGTCTTCTCGGCAGTCTGTGAGGGAGCAAGAGTACATGTGTCATGTGTATGTGAGGTCAGATAACCTGGCAGGAGTCGTTATCTCAGACCATGAGTATCCACAGCGTGTTGCTCACACCTTGATCACAAAGATCTTGGATGACTTCACTGAAAATGTTCCACCACAGAGCTGGCCTACAGGCACTCCAGAAACCATCAACTTTACTGGCCTTGAAGCTATGCTGGCTCGATATCAGAACCCCAAGGAAGCTGATGCAATGACCAAGATCCAGAGTGAGCTGGATGAGACAAAGATTATCTTGCACAATACAATCCAGAGTGTTCTGGAGAGAGGGGAGAAGCTAGATGATCTGGTTTCCAAGTCAGAAGATCTCAGTCTACAGTCTAAGACCTTCTACAAAACTGCAAGAAAAACCAACTCTTGCTGTAATCTGGGGTAGATATGAAGAGCCTGCGATGAAATGGTATCATGTGTGCATTATAAATGTGTCACATGTGTCTGTGTATTTTGAAGCATTGTTTATGAGAAGTTTCAGTTTATTCCATTCCAGGAGTATGCTGGTAGGTACAGTGATGGCCAACATGGAAGCATTCTGGTCCAAAGGTTAAAAGTTAAAACTTATTGAATACTGCTGGTGTGTGGTCAATGTGCCTCTTATAGGCAGTTTTATTTGCCTAAAGCTTATGATCAGTTGTCTGTGTTTACCTTATGTTGACCATATTTTTGTGACATCTCCAATGCTATCCACAGTAGTCTTGCCCTAAAAATTTGTCACCACTTGCTGGATTGTGTTCATGTATGCTTACCCAGAGGCTTGGAGAGCCTCACCATCATGGCACATAGCCAGACATTGTGTGGTCAATGTTAGTAGCTGTTAATAAATGTACATTGGATGCAAGACAACTTTCACGAATGCAACTTTTTATACTATTGGATCCTGAGTACACTACTGTGAATAGTCTTTTTCAGACACTTTCATTTCATTCTTTCAGCCAGGTATTGCTGGTCATAACAATTTAGCAAATGTGATACGGGGTCAGCTGGTGTTAGCTGTCTGCTTCACATCCAATTTGATGTTTTATCAGAACTTATCAGTCAATTCAATGTCAAATTCTGTGGGTCTTTTCGTGCACCGAGGCACCGTTAGACCCAAATTGGTCACGTTCTGGGAATTAATCGCGAAAATCGATATCTTCCGGACAGCGGCACCATCTGAGAATAGTCAGCTGCTCGCTCCTGGCCATATAGCGCTCCTGTTGCGCTGCAGGGGACGCCCACAGTAGTTCCCGGCTGAGCCTGGCCACCGCGGCGGTGTGAAAGGCCGGCGGTTTCCAAACGGGGGCGCAGTTCCCAGGAGTCAGTAGACTGCCCCCACGCAGGGCGAGGTGCCGCCGCCCACAGCGTGTGGAAAGGAGTCGCCCATCCCCATGGCCGAAGCTCACGATGCTCGGCTGATGTGTTGGGTGGTAGCGGCGTCTCGGGACTCATTTTCCTCCCCTCCCTCAGTCCGAAGAGCTAAGAGCGGGAACTGGGTTTGGGGAACACAGAATCTTCGACCGAACACGAGATTACACACAGACTGACCTGATTCATCTGCTATCGTTCGGGATGTGGAGATAGCACAGTTTCGCCCGATAATCTGGGTAGTTCCTAGAATTGCTACTATCGTGTATAGAATCATTACCATGACTAAGCCATTGAAACAATGACTCGCCACACGTCACAGCCGCGTCAGCGAACTCATTGGCAGTGGAGACCGGGTCGATCATGACCTGGCGTTATAATAACCCTCTGAAACCTATTGGGACGTGACAATTCGGTCCGTACCGATTGCGATCTCTCGATCAAATTGAACCGCCGGTGTTTGAATTCATGACGCTGCTCCCCAGAGCCTGGATGCAGATCGTTGTCGGATGGGATCCAATCCCAGACAGCGCCCGGGGAGCATCACAAACTAGTTGTACCGGATCGCCCGTATTTTCCGTCCGCCTCAACCAGTGCGAGCCGGCTCTCTGTTGGTGTTACGTCACGAGCGGCTGGACTAGATTTATCCATCTAGCGTCTGGCACGCATCGGCGGGCGATGCCAGTGTCTGTAAAACTCGATTTAGCCGACAAAGCAATGTTTGCTCTTCATTTCAAAACAATGGTAGGAACACAAGCAGAATGACTCGAGTTACCTCTGCGCGTAGCAATGAAGCGCACGGGCACGGCGCGACCGCAACACGCACGGATACGTCATCAGACCTCGGTTTGCAAGCTCACGGTCTACAGTGGCCGAAAGCGCCGGGCGGAGCGCGTCGCACTGCCTGCCCACGCCCGTCGCGGGTCGATACTCGGCTCCGGGTCATCCGGCACGGCGCGTCCGTGCCGGCGGGGCCGGCGAACACCAGCGACTCAGGCAGTGTCGCTCCCAGCCGCCGCGTTACACACGAGAATAGAAGGCAGTTAGCCGGACCGGCCGCTCGGCCGCGCACAAGACGTAACCGACGAGATTACTGGATAACGCACACAAGTCCTGCAGGAGTGCATAACTGACGTCAAATGCTCATATGAACCAAAATGTGACTTACACAAACGAAATCCACATGCTGGGCACAATCAAATAACACACCCTGTGCTCAAACAAACAATACACAACAAAGGAACGCCGGGCTGTCATGGAAACGACTGAAAATCAACCGCTGGTGCGGAGATACCAGTGATCGAGCCTGGACTGGCTTGGGAACATGGAGGCTGCACAGCGGCCTTCCACAAAACCTTCTATTGGCCAGGCTGCGCCAGCGTCACCTAATCCCGTCTCCAGAAATATCACATCACAACGCGCCGGTCTCGCAACTCGCCGATCGTTTTTGTCACTGACCACGATCGCTCGTCCTATCCCATCCCATGGCCGCTGCGGACAACGTCTTGAAATAGCCACCACAGCCCGTGTCCAGTCGTCGACACTTCACCGATCACTGTGACGGGTGACCTGCCGTCAAGCCTTTCACGGAGGTGTCCCGAACGCATCCAGACGTTGGGTGAATGGTGAGGTGTTTAAAAACGCAGTCCTGTCCGTGAGGTTGTCGCTGAGGTCGCTTGAATACCGAGAAGCCGAAGATTCATACACTGAGGTCGGCGGGGTAGACGGAAAAGTCGGAGACCTCGGCGGTGAGGTCAGAGACCTTGACTGTGAGGTCGTTGACCTAGACGGTGAGGTCGGTGGTGACGGTGCCACCGTCGTTGATGGCGTTGCGTATCCGGTCCATCTTGGTGGGCAGCAGGCGGGCCATCTCCCGACACGCAGACAGTTCCTCGGCCATTTTCTCCGCACCCAGAGGTACCCGGTCGCAGTAGTCGATGATGAACTGAAACGGGCGACGGGAAAAGACGGTCACGTACGGGGAAATGTGGGACTCGACTGGCAGCGGCGACAGGAAAAGGCGGGGATAGCCCGCACTGCTAATGCAAGGCTTACTGACCTACTACGTAATAGCAAACTGTTAAAACCGTTGTCATGAAAACGCAAATCGGTATTTCAACGAGATGTCGATAACGTAAAAGCAACGAAAACAAACGAATCGGAGACTCGGCCATGCAGTAGCCTTTTCGTCCACCGCACGGCGCGCAATACTACACCCGCCCTCTGTACACACTATAACACATTATGCAACAATTGCTAAATAAACAGACGTCGTCAGATAGTAGTTCGCGGAACAGGCCACCAAAGTTTTGGGCGAGCTACACCGCCATCTGATAAAAGATAACATAACTACACTGTATGCGCTTTCGTCATGTCATAATCGTATCGCGATACAGATCATGCAGCGTGCAGGAAAACTGTTGGCATGGGCGGGAAACCCGAGTCGTTAGCCGTTGGACAGTACAGTACGCCACGTATGTGGATATATACTGACAGATTGAGTAAAATGGACGTCTTGCTATATGACAGCTATTACACCACAATAAATTTGCTCAAAGGTTCATTCATCTGGACACGAATTACCAAATAAAACTAACAGCCGCAACGGCCTCGTACTGAGTCATACAACCTCGTCAGCAGAATGAAGTTGAAGTTAAGAGATCGAATGCGCAACATCTTGAACATCGAGAGCGACATTGATCGGTGTCCAATGCCGGGGCAACATTTCTAGCTTTTATTTGACGATTGTTCGGCATTCATGGTTCGGCCATATTTTGAAGGAATCAGCACTGCTTGACTTGCGCACCACGAGAACTTTTCAGACAAATCAGGAAGCTCTAAAAAAGTAATTGCGCTCAAAGTTCCAACGTTTTCATGTCAGCATGCCTGCTTACGACCAAACTCATTTTATGACTGTCAACTACATAAGTTTTCTCACTGGCGGATCCAGGCTTGCGTTTTGGGGGGGGGGCCAACTCATGCGGAGCCAAACCTAGGGTACCCCCAAATCCTGTTTTCTCATCGGATTTAGGCCACTTATTTTTCGTCACAGCTCTGACACTATTAATTTTTTTTTTAACTAAAAAGAAAAATATATAAATGGTAGTCCACCCGACCCATGCCTTTATATTACTTTGTGAACACTTACCATTGCTTTTGTCGACCAGTTAACCCGCTTCGAGTCAGTTCTTGGGTCCCTTTGCGGGCCGGGAGGTGGTAAAACACCCCCAGTCTAACTCGGCTCCTGGGCCACGCACTGATTGAACTATGTTTCATTATCGTTTGGGGGAGGGGCAAACGGGCCACTTTAGGCCTCTGGGAAAGGGGCATGGCCCTAAATGCCCCCTCCCTGGATCCGCCAGTGTAAGACACCATTGGAGCTGCAGTTGGGTACCTCAGACGTCAGGGTACGCCCTCAGATGTATAGGACTTGCGTGGAGACCTCTTATGCTGTAGTGGACTGAAAGGACCCAAAGGAGCCCGTCTAGGGCTCCCGGAGAATGGAGATAGACGTGGGCTCTCAGGAGCCCGCCAGAGCCCCCAATGAGGGATAAGTGAGGGATACCAAGTGCCTGCAATTGCATATTGCATAAGCCATAACGCCTTTACAAATCAATATATGTATTATGTATCAGTGGCAGATACAAGGGGGGCCACATGGGTCATGACCCCCCTTGGTGCCCGGGGGCACCACCGGCCTAGCAGGAGCACCACCAGCCCGCCAGGGGCACCACAGGCCTAGCAAGGGCACCACGGGCCTGTGACGGGTCCCACAGGCTTGTCAGGGACACCCCAGGTCTGTCAGGGACACCAGAGACCTGCCAGGGGCACCACCGGCCTCGCAGGGGCACCATGGGCCTGTTAGGGGCACCAGAGGCCTAGCAGGGGTACCACAGGCCTTACAGGGGCACCACCGGCCTTGCAGGGGCACCAGAGGCCTAGCAGGGGCACCACAGTCCTGTCAGGGCCCAGGGGCACCAGGGGCCTAGCAGGGGCACCACAGGCCTGCCAGGGGCACCACCGGTCTAGCCTTTACAAATCAATATATTATGTATCAGTGGCAGATCCAAGGGGGGCCACATGGGTCATGACCCCCCTTGGTGCCCGGGTGGTGCCTGTCAGGGGCACCACCGGCCTAGCAGGGGCACCACCAGCCCGCCAGGGGCACCACAGGCCTAGCAAGGGCACCACGGGCCTGTGAGGGGCCCACAGGCTTGTCAGGGGCACCCCAGGTCTGTCAGGGACACCAGAGACCTGCCAGGGGCACCACCGGCCTCGCAGGGGCACCATGGTCCTGTCAGGGGCCCTGCCGGCCTCGCAGGCATCACGGCATCACGCAGGGGCACCTTGGGCCTGTCGGGGACATCACGGGCCTGTTGGGGGCGCTTTAGGCTTGTCAGGGGCACCGCAGTCCTGTCAGGTCCCAGGGGCATCAGCAGCCTAGCAGGGGAACCCTAGGCCCGCCAGAGCCACCACAGGCCTGCCAGGGTCCAGGGGCA